GGTCGAAGCATATTATACAATTATTGCAAGTTGTGATTGATTACATTCAAGTAGTATTTGATTTTTTAAAAATCAGTTTCGATTACATATCCTGGATTACTAACGGAGAGTGTGACGATCAATAATGTACAATTGACACAAGCAAAAGTTATTGTCTTCAAGCTGAGCTGGTCAGACAAATCGCTTTATGGAAGTATCAAAATGTTGTACCCTGAACACAAGAGCGTATTCTTAGCTGACGTTTCGAACTAATGGGATTGAATCATGCTATTTCTCATTTATTGTGTATTCCTTATGTATACAATATCACAAATAGCCAATTTTCTTTTTGAAAGAGGAAAACACTGTGATTGCATGATAACATTAAAAAATCATAGAAAATTGGAATAATAAGGAACTCATTCAAAACAGTATTTGATTCTTAAATATCAGTTTCAAATACATTATATCCTGGATTACTAACTCAGGGCGTGATGATGTATAACATACAATTGACACAAATAAAAGTTATTGTCTTCACGTTAAACTGGTCAGACAAATCGCTTTATGGGTGTATCAAAATGTAGTATTCTGAACATTTTTTTCTTCTCTTTTATTGTGAATTTGAACATATCTTCATTAACATCCCGAACTAAAAGAATTGCCTCATGTCATTCTTGGTTTCTTTTGTTTTCCTTCTATATATACACTATTGCTTATGACTATTACAGCTATTGTAACACTAAAACCTCTCAAATATCAGTCCCAATTACGTTATACCACTAGTTGATAATGTTCATCAATTATGTACAATTCTAAGACAACTTGCATGCAAATATCTGCTCTTATCTTTGTTCATGTTTATTTGATTGTTTGCTTGTTTATTGGAGAGGGGATTAGGGACATATACAATTATTGCAAGTTGTGATTACATTTAAAAAAATTTGATTCTAAGGTATCAGTTTCGCATACACATTATGGATTTCTAACTCCGGGCATAATGATCAGTAATTTAGAATAAATACAAAGTGCTCAAGATCAACAATGCATGATAATACAATTCTGAAATTATATAAAGTTATGAATATTTCTGACACATCTTGCTTGAGAACAGTTGTCTATATTATTACACAGATTACTTCTGATACCGTTGAAATGTAGCAGGTTGAAAGTACTCAGGAGCTGACGAAGGTACCACGTACTGGAAACAAGCTGTAGGGTCAGGCTGGTAACAGTTTTGATGGTGTGTGAGAAACTGAGAGTGTCCCAGTGACGGGGGAGCAGGATGCTGAACTGTGCGCTGATTTGTGTCTGTGACCACGGGCCATTGGGCTCTCTGTAGATCCAACGGAGACTGGTGATATTGGGAAGAAGAGACATCCACATATTGTGGGAACTGGGCTGTTGTTTCTGTCTGATAGGCCGAGGAATCGGAATATGTACCAGCCAGGTGAAAGGTTGCCAGTCCATTGCTCTGGTTCATGTAGTAGTACTGTGTCGGTGTCTCACGTGGGAAATACTGAAGGTTTCCAGAGTGCGAGGGGTACACGTAATGTTGATAATATCCTGAATGTTGATAGCTGAACTCGTTGAAGGGATGGCAGAACGATGAAGTTGGTCTGTGCTCGATGGGTGAGTTACCGAAGTACGGACTCGCTACTTCCTCCCCGGTGCTGTTGTATGTGATTGGTGCAGTGATGAGAGATTGAGCGGTGGCGTTTTGTCGGACACGAGGTTCTGTGTGACCGTTGGTGTTGAGGATTTGTAGGATCTGGGAGACTGAAGCACGCTCTGTCGGATCTGCACACAGTAGACGTTGTACACATTGTCTGTAGGTGAGCGAGACAGATTTATCATTGTCCAAAACCTTTAAGTAGTCCGTGTTTTTCTGGGGCTTTTTACGAAACACAAGTGCCCACAGAAAAACGCCGACACAGAAACTCTCAAGCTTGAAAGCGTCTTTCACAGGATGGCCCCTTGTGAATTCCGGTCCGTGGTAGGCTGCACAACTTCCCCATTCCTTCAAACTGTCCGTGTTTTCAGGAACTACCTGAGCGTGTCCAAAGTCACAAAGTTTTGCTACTCCATCTTTACTCACCAACACATTTTCCAGTTTTACATCACCGTGCACGACACGTCGGCTGTGTAGATAGCTCAAGGCCTCGGTGACCTGGGTAAAGTAGCGAGTGGCTTCCTCATCCGAGATACGAGGTAAGGCGTCGAACAGATCCACTGGATGAAATTCCAACACTATGACCAGTGACTCGGGGCAACTAGCCGCTCTCTCCATTGCTATGATGTTGGGATGACGGAGATCTTGAAGCATGGCCACCTCGTTGACGAAATAGAACCATTTCCTGGGTTTATCCACAGGGTCTCCATTCTCCAGAAAAATGAATTTCTTCAGAGCTTTCTTCTTCTCCGGATTGTTGACGTCTGTAGCGAGGAAGACTTGGGCAGTTGCACCTCCCGCTAGAATGCGATCTTCTTTAAAGCCGAGCGCCTCGGACACATTTACAGTGTGGGTCTCAAACACTGGACGACCGAGTCTGAAAGTAGCACTCATTCTGAAGCTGTAGGCGATGTAGAAGATATACTCCAAGTTGAAGGTTCTTGTATAACGTGAATAAAGCACAGTATAAGTGTTCCCAAAATGTGTCACTGAGTCACAGCATATATAAGAAACGTCTGATCAAAACTTCCAGCACAAATCCAACGAGTGGAATACACAACTCTTTCAATGTGGAAATACTCAGCAAGTCACAAACAAATCGAAATTGTCCTCCAAAAAACGTATATCCAGTAACCGCCAACACGGCTTTGGTCAAACAGAAAACAGTGGGACTATAAGCAACCGCGTGTGGTAATGCTTTTATACCCACGCTTCTTTCCCGCCTTTTTCGTGGGGTGGAGTCAAGTCTTCAGTGATCAACCAATCAGCATTAAGGTTGGATCGCCGGTTAGCCAGGCTGATTAGGTCACCATCTCTTATTTTCCCCATCAATGACAAAGAAATTAGCTGAGGTACTCCATAGCGGACACAGGTGACTAATGTTTGTCTGAGGGATTAAGCTGTCAAAATAATTAATTACATTTCTATTCGAACTGCCTGACGGCTATATTATGTGCGTCTTTAATCATTTTACAACTTTGTTGGGGGGTTTTTCAAGAGAATAATTTAGTCAGCTACTTGCCTTTCATAGTTTCGAATTACAGCTTTGTTACATTGTAGGCCTGTGTGTGCCAAATATTTTCTTTACAATAAAAGTCGTATTATGACAAGTTGAGACAGTTAAAGAAGGCAATAAGAATCCCGAGTCTCTTTTCGAACGATTTCATGCCTGTGTGTTTGTGCAAGTGTCTGTGTGTGAGTGTGTGCGTATATGTGCAAGTGAAAATAAGTGAGGGAATTGTGTGTAGTGTGACACTTTAGAAGGCCGAGTCAGAAAGAAATAAGTGTTAAAACAATAGTAAAATTATTTACAAAGACTTCAAAAGAGTATAAATAACATGTCTGACCTCCCAAAAAAAATTGCATGAAAGAAGAAATTGTAACAAATGATTTTGCGCTTGACTAAGAAATCGTTTTCAACCAGCAGATAGGTGGCTGTAAGTGTGGTTTCAGTTAGGGCCTTCTTCTGATTGGTTAAACTACTGGTCACACTATTGTTACCCTGGGGTGTTGTTGGTACGGCATTGGCCCTCTTTGTCCTTTGTGTCTGAAACGCTTGTGACGACGTAATTATTTTGTCCTGACTGCTTGCGTCACAATCCTTTAACACGTACCGTCGGTATTTCATAACTGTTTGATGGTTATAATCTCGTGACGTGTCACGCACTACCTCCCCATGCCATCCCTAATCTCACTTTCCCCTCAACCCCCACCCCAACACACTCACATACCTAAATGGCGCCTTTTTGTGGTAAACGAATTCTTTTGACATTTTCTTAGCCTGTTTTATTCAAATTGTGTATTTAAAAAATCGCTATAAAATCAGGCGCTCTTAAAATTAATGAAATCAAAGGAGCAGGGATACTTCCGCCAGTTTGTCAATTTCTATTGAATTTTTTTTTCTTTGCTCTACATTTCCATATGAATTTTAATTGAAAACATAGATTCAAGGTGCAAAATTTCTAAGTTTCCAGTTTTCAGGGACTCTCAAGCTATTGAAACTATAACATTTTGCCAGCCAATTTTTTTTCCTTATTTTAATTTTTTTCAACCAGGCGACCCTACCTCCTTCATTTACCAATATCTCAATTTCTATTCAAGATAAATGGGCTTTTATTTTATCGAAAGCAAGGCAAATAAATAAGCTTGCAGATGATACTAATAACCCAACATTCCCAAAATTTGATGAGTATCTGATTCCACCACGTCATGACACATATTATTGTACAACCTACTATTTCCATATCTCCACCACGGGAGGTTACATTTAGGTCTATAATACCTCATGTTGTCCACACTAGGCACCTTGTCGAAACAGTAACTCACAACCGCTCTGGTGATTTAAAAGTACACTGCTGTAGGCCTCCTGGGTACGTGCCTGTAAAAAGTGGGTTTGACATGCCCACAAAAACGTCATCGACAGCTTAGCATCAATTAACACAATGAGGGTGCACGTTCTATTCATTCGACAAAGTTTGAAGACGTCCTGTTTCGGGGCATTTACAGAAAGAAGATTAACTTCGGTATCCATACACATTTTTCATTTTGGCCAGGCTTGTTTAAAATTGAAAAATATATTAAACTCGAAAACAATAATAATATGGTTACTAAGATTACAACTTTGTTTTATGATCAGTAATACTGATGGTTCAAAATGTTTTGCAACATTGCTTTTATTCTGTTGCGGATTGGGCATATTATGTGTCCACTTAACTTTCAAAAAAAGATTAAACAAACACCGACTTAGGAAATATAAGAAAAACTCTAGCAAAACAATCAATGCAGGTGTGGCAACAAAACTAACCACACACACACACACACACACACACACACACACACACACACACACACACACACACACACACACACACACACACACACACACTTTCATATTATATAACATACACTCAAACCAAAGACTATGGAGCAGTATGTTACAAATTTGATCAGCCCAAAGGAAGATCAAATTGAAATCCTACAGAACTTACATAATTTGTCTCAGGACATGTGTTACATTTTATCATTGACACCACCATCAGTGGCCGGATATATCTGGATGTGTGAAACATCTAATTTTTTTTTTTTATACAGAGAGACGAAGTCTCACAACTGCTGTAACAAGTGTTACATTCTACAACGTGTATTAAATGAGCAAGACAGTGTGCAATGGTGATTTTAAACAAAAAGTACCAGACAAGGAAGACAAGGTAAAATAAACCAATGGGTCGCAACAACTGGGAGAATGAGTGACGCTTCGGTCAAAAGTTTATGTTCACGTCCATTGTTAAAGACTGGGTAAACAGTGACCGGTCACCTCACTTACTTTTTGTGTAGGAGCTGTGGGCGGGGCTTATAGGTCATGACGGACCACACGCATTCCTCGCCTGCAGCTGAAAATGTATTGTTACTGGGTGGTCAACTTGGATAAACAAGTGGGTGGGACCTGACCTCCCCAACATGATCAGACTTCGGAGGGACAAACAATAACTTCAGGCGAATGGATCATGACGGCTCGTCCACAGCGTCAGGAGCCAATACATAATTTATGACAAAGCGTCGGACGAAGAAACATTTGCGTGGCCGTTCAAAGACATTTTTAATTTTTTTTCTCGATTTTTGTAGATAAAATAGGGTGGCCTCGGCTGCCTTGCACAGGTGACCGTTTTACACTGTGAAATTATAATAATATAGCCCCTTAACGGCAGGTTCGACTGTATGTCGCTTTTTTAAAAAAAGGTAATGGTTATGGGAAAGACCTTTAGGTACGATGAGAACGTTAGGCACCTGGACGTGACACACAGAAGACTTAGGTTCAATTCCCTTGTGCTGAGAATTTTTTTTATCAAGTTCACGTATTTCCGCCCCTTTATTGGGACATTATATACTCGTCCAAGCACAAGTTCGCCTTTGCATGACGTAACGAGCAACAAATTCAATTTTTTTTAAACGTTAACTTTTCTTTTACTCATAGCTAATTGTTCATTTCCATTCTGTTGCTTTTTTGCTGATATTGTTGCCCCACCTGTGTTGATTGTTTTGCTAGCGTTTTTCTTCTTTTTCCTAAGTCGGTGTTTTGTTTAACTATAATTTAAAAGACTAAGAGGACACATAATATGTCCGATCACCAACAGAATAGAAGCAAAACTGCAGGACATTTAGAACCATCATTTTACTAATCAGAGAACAGATTTGCATTTTTTTGTATTTTATATTGTTATTGTGGTCGAGTTTATGTCCTTCAATAAAAAAAAAAGCCTAGTAGAAATGAATCTTTTGAATGGATATCGAAGTTAGTCTTCTTTCTTTAAGTATCCCAAAACAGGACGTCTTCAAACGTTGTCGAATAAATAGAACGGGCACCCTGAATGTGTTAATTGACGCTGCTGCTGCTGATGTTGTTTTTTGTGGACATGTCGGACTTGGCTATTCTGACAGGCATATAGCCAGTACATCAGTGTATTCCGCTGTCTGAAGGATCGTTCTATGCTATCAGGCTGCTTATTGTTAAAGACACCACTTTAGAAATTCCTTTAAAATTGATCAATTAAAGAGAAAGACAGGAGTCTTGCAAACTTAAAGCACAAGTTTAAAAATCCTTAATTTAAAAATATACTCCAGTTCAACGCATCCCTATTCTTCACGATAATTACTGAGTTTACCGTAGTCACATACTACTGTTGGTGGGTGCTCTGGTGGGGTTTATTCTTTCATTTCAATTTTTTTTAAACAACATATATCGCCCTTATCTCTCCTTGAACCACAAAGGAATCTTAACGTTCGCATCTTGCACTTGGGATCTCCGAGATTTTTCACCCTTGTCCGAGAAGGCTCGGGTGTAGATCTTTCCTTCAATAAGATCAGTGGTGTGGCTGAAAAACTGCAGTAGAGAGGCTGCAGAAAAGTTAGGAGCCCAATGGAGGGTTCAAAGAAGGTGAAGGGGTGGGGTATGTAAGAGAAGACGAAAGCAGACAACAGAACATTGCTAGACAAACATAAAAGGATGTGAAAGTAGAAATTTTAGAGACGGAAATTTTCCTTCGCTCTCCGGATTCTAACCCGGGAACTATTGAATAAGAGGCGATCACCGTAACCTCTGGACCACGAGTGCCGCATGTTTGTTTGTTTGGTTGGTTTTTGTGGGTCTTTAAAAACAAAAATTCTTGTTTAGGCGTTATATGGCTCCAAAATTACATACAATTTAGACCTTTTAGGAGGCAAGCCTTGAGCCCGAATTAGAGCTGACAGGAATACATCGTCCCAGAAAAAAGGCAGAGATACTTTGTAACAATTCTCACAATACGGGAATTGAATGCAATACTTTTGCTTATGACGACAGAATGCTTTATGCTCTCGGACTCGAAACCTTTAGGTTATGGGTTCGAATCCCGTCAGGGTCCTGACGTTTTGTCTAGGGAAATGTACTTAAAACGAATTTTCCGCAGTTTACCAGGTGGGAATGGGTACCCAGCTACAGACAGCGAAAGATCATGTCACTTTGTTAGAATTTGAGATCTTAGCTGCTTCCACTGTATAATTTATGCTTCCCGCGACCGTAAAGCAGATAATGTTTTTGAGTGTTCGATGGTCTGCTTAGGGTAGAAGAAATGCTCCAAAAAGAGTCAAGAGCCCACGGGAAGGGGGAAAAGGGGTGATGGAGTGCAACAATAGCGACAACAATAACAACAACAGCAACAATAATAACAACAGCAACAATAATAATAACAACAGTAACAAACAATAAAAACAACGTGAAGAATAGCAACACAGAAGCACCAACACACAATCAGTTGTAGAAGCACGGAAACAAATATCATGTATTTGATCATGTGAGACATAATATAACAATAACAAGTGGGTATTTTTAAATTTACAAATTTTATTGAAAACATTGATAATATGAAAAGAGAAAAAAGAACATAAAGATACATTATAATGTTGAACAGGACACATTGACAAATGTACAGTGACTTTCAGGGAAAGAATTATTGATATCAGTTAGATTTTCTCAAACTGCAGTTTCAAAACAGTTCATTTTTGAGTTAATTATGTTGTAAAAAAATTCGGGGCATGCAAACAAAAATTCAAAAGAGAAACTGACAATGTTGCACATTCGAAGGGTGTCCAAGAAATCACTGGGCTTACAGTAACAAAACAATAAAACCAAGGTTAATAATATTCAATAACATTTTTAGAGTAGTTAAAACATTTGATCTGCAAACATACAAAATACGTTTTTATTGTGAATTAAATAATATGTCAGAAATATTGTAATGTAATTTAAGAAAGCATAAAAATGGATTCATATTTTTTTCTAGTGTGTTTTTGCTGGGTTTTATATTTATTATTATTATTATTATTATTATTATTATTATTATTATTATTATTATTATTATTATTATTATTATTATTATTATTATTATTATCATTATCATTATCATTATCATTATTATTATTATTATTATTATTATTATTATTATTATTATTATTATTATTATTATTATTATTATTATTGTTATTATTATCATTATTATTACTATTATTATTATTATTATTATTATTATTATTATTATTATTATTATTATTATTATTATTATTATTATTATTATTATTATTATTATTATTATTATTACTATTATTATTAAAAATATTATTATTATTATTATTATCATCACTGTTTTTATTAATATCGTTTTTATTATTATTATTATTATTATTATTATTATTATTATTATTATTATTATTATTATTATTATTATTATTATTATTATTATTATTATTATTATTGTCATTATTATTATCATTATTAATATGATTATTATTATTATAATTATAATTATAATTATTATTATTATTATTAATATTATTATTATCAATATTATTATTATCAATATTATTATTATTATTATTATTAATATTATTATTATTATTATTATTATTATTATTATTATTATTATTATTACATGTTTTTGTGGGGGTTTTTTGGGGGGAGGGGTTTATACAATTAATGCAAGTTGTGATTACACCAAAATCAGTGTTGGATTCTAAAATGTCAGTTTCGAATACATATCCTGGATTACTAACTCAGGGCGTGATGATCAATGATGTACAATTGACACAAGCAAAAGTTATTGTCTTCAAGTTAAGCTGATCAGACAAATCGCTTCATGGAAGTATCAAAATGTAATATTCTGAACACGTTTTTATTTCTGAATATGAACATATCAAGAGTATAACCTCTCACATACATTTCAAACTAAAAGAATTGTAACATGTTTTTCCTGGTTTCTTATGTTTTCCTTTTGAATATACAATATTGCTAATGACCATTACAGCAATTGTAACATTAAAACTTTTCAAAATGTCAGGCCTAATTTCGTCATACCACGAGCTGATAATGTTCATCAATTATGTACAATTCTAAGACAACTTGCATGCAAAGAGCTGCTCTTGTCTGTTGGGTTTTTTGGGGGGTACTTTTTTAGTTTTTGAGAGGAAAGGGATTGGGGGGGGGGGAGGGGGCTGGAAGTTTCTACAATTATTGCAACCTGTGATTGCATTCAAACAGTATCAGTTTCAAATACATATCCTGGATAACTGGCTCGGGGCATGACGATCAATAAAGTACAATTGACACAAAGCAAAAGTTATTGTCTTCAAGCTGAGCTGGTCAGACAAATCGCTTTATAAAGTATCAAAATGTAGTACATGTATTCTGAACACGTTTTTCCCAATTGTGAATATGAACATATAAAGAGCACACGCATTCTTTATTAAAAGTAATGAATAATGATATACCTTGTTTCTTATGTTTTCATTTCATATATATTATACAATATTGCTTATGACTGTAACACTAAAAATTCTCAAATATCAGTCACAATTACGTTATACCACTAACTGATAATGTTCATCAATTATGTACAATTCTAATTCGACTTACATATCCTGGATAACTAACTCAGGGCATGATGATCAATAATTTACAATTGACACAAGCAAAAGTTATTGTCTTCAAGTGGAGCTGTTCAGACAAATCGTTTTATGAAAGTATCAAATTGTAGTATCATGAACACATTTTTTTTTCAAGTGAATATGAACATATCAAGAGCATACTCTTAGCAAATATTCTAAACTAAAATTATTGCATCATGCTGTTTCTGATTTATTATGTATTCATTTTTGTATACAATATTGCAAACGGCCAATTAAAAAAAGGAACACACTGTGATTGCATAATAACATGTTAAAAATCATAGAATAGTGGATTGATAAGGCACACATTCAAAGCAGTATTTGATTCGTAAATGTCAATTTCAAATACATATCCTGGATTGTTAACTCAGAGAATGATGAGCAATAATGTACAATTGACACAAGCAAAAGTTATTGTCTTCGAAAGGAGCTGGTCAGACAAATCGCTTTAGGGAAGTATCAAAATGTAGTAACCTGAACTTATTTTTCCAAATTGTGAATATGAAAATATCAAGAGCACACACACTTCAAACTAAAAGAATTGCATCATGTTATTCCTGGTTTCTTATGCTTTCCTTTTATATATACAATATAACTTATGACCATTACAGCTACTGTAACAAAAACTTCTCAAATATCAGTCTCAATTACGTTATACTACTGACTGGTAATGTTCATCAATTATGTACAATTCTAAGACAAAGAGCTGCTCGTGTCTTGTTCTTCCGCCGGTGAGGTTTAATTCTTTATGAAGGGATCAAGAAGTGACTTTCTGTACAACTAATACGTTTGTTATACATGTAGAACAGAGTGATTTAAATTTGTATTTTCATCGGGTTTTTAAACTGTACAATCAAATATTTGGCATTTTTAAAAAAAGAAATGCAAAGTGCTCAAAATCACCAATGCGTTCCAAAAAAAGCTTAAAAATTTGCCTCACAGAACTCTATTCAGTTTTTCAAAAAGGAAAACATTGTAACAACGGGTCGACGGGTAAGAAATCGAAATAAGGGGATATTTTTGTTTGTTTTGTTTGGGGTTTTTTTTCGTAAAGGTGGGGGGGGGGGGGGGGTGTAGAATGTTTCTGTGTTTGTTTGTTCGATTGTTTGTTTGTTTTGGGGAGGGGGTGGACTAGGGTCTTATACAATTATTACTAGTTATGACTGTATTCAAAACAGTATTTGATTCTAAGATATCAGTTTTGAATACACATCATGGATTTCTAACTCAAGGCATAATGATCATTCATTTAGAATAAATACAAAGTGCTCAAGATCATTAATGCATGATAATACTATAGTGAAATGATACACAATTATGTAGATTTCTGACACAACTTGTTTGAGAAGAATTGTCTCTATTGTTACACAGATTACTCCTGATACCGTTGAAATGTAGCAGGTTGAAAGTACTCAGGAACTGACGAAGGTACCACGTACTGGAAACAAGCTGTAGGGTCAGGCTGGTAACAGTTTTGATGGTGTGTGCGAAACTGAGAGTGTCCCAGTGACGGGGGAGCAGGTTGCTGAACTGTGCGCTGATTTGTGTCTGTGAACACAGGCCATTGGGCTCTCTGTAGATCCAACGGAGACTGGTGATATTGTGAAGAAGAGACATCCACATATTGGGGGAACTGGGCTGTTGTTTCTCTCTGATAGGCCGAGGAATCGAAATGTGTACCTGCCGGGTGAAAGGTTGCCAGTCCATTGCTCTGGTTCATGTAGTAGTACTGTGTCGGTGTCTCACGCGGGAAATACTGAAGGTTTCCAGAGTGCGAGGGGTACACGAAATGTTGATCATATCTTGAATGTTGATAACTGAACTCGTTGAAGGGATGGCAGAATTGTGAAGATGGTGTCTGTTCGATGGGTGAGCTTCCGAAGTACGGACTCGCTACTTCCTCGCCGGTGCTGTTGTATGTGATTGGTGCAGTGATGAGAGATTGAGCGGTGGTGTTTTGTCGGACACGAAGTTCTGTGTGACCGTTGGTGCTGAGGATTTGTTGGATCTGGGAGACTGAAGCACGCTCTGTCGGATCTGCACACAGTAGACGGTGTACACATTGCCTGTAAGAAGGCGAGATAGATTTATCATTGTCAAATAGCTTTAAGAAGTCCGTGTTTTTCTGGGGCTTTTTACGAAACACAAGTGCCCACAGCAGAACGCCGACACAGAAACTCTCAAGCTTGAAAGCGTCTTTCACGGGATGGCCCCTTGTGAATTCCGGTCCGTGGTAGGCTGCACAACTACCCCATTCCTTCAAACTGTCCGTGTTTTCAGGGACTACCTGAGCGTGTCCAAAGTCACAAAGTTTTGCCACTCCATCTTTACTCACCAACACATTTTCCAGTTTTACATCACCATGAACGACACGTCGACTGTGTAGATAGCTCAAGGCCTCGGTGACCTGGGTAAAGTAGCGAGTGGCTTCGTCATCCGAGATACGAGGTAAGGCGTCGAACAGATCCACAGGATGAAATTCCAACACCATGACCAGTGACTCTGGGCAACTAGCCGCTCTCTCCATTTCTATGATGTTGGGATGACGGAGATCTTGAAGCATTGCCACCTCGTTGACGAAATAGAACCATTTCCTGGGTTTATCCACAGGGTCTCCATTCTCCAGAAAAATAAATTTCTTCAGAGCTTTCTTCTTCTCCGGGTTGTTGACGTCTGTAGCGAGGAAGACTTGGGCAGTTGCACCTCCCGCTAGAAGGCGATCTTCTTTAAAGCCGAGCGCCTCGGACACATTTACAGAGTGGGTCTCAAACAGTGGACGGCCAAGTCTGAAAGTAGCACTCATACTGAAGCTGTAGGCGACGTAGAAGATATACTCCAAGTTGAAGGTTCTTGTATAACGTGAATAAAGCACAGTATAAGTGTTCCCAAAACGTGTCACTGAGTCACAGCGTCTATAAAAAAAAGTCTTATCAAAACTTCCACCACAAATCAAACGAGTGAAATACACAACTCTTTCACTGCGGAAATACTCAACAAGTCACAAACACATCAAACTTCTCCCAAAAATCGTAAATCCAATATCTGTGAACGTGGCTGTGGTCAAACAGAAAACAGTGGGACTATAAGCAACTACGTGTGGTAATGCTTTTATACCCACGCTTCTTTCGCGCCTTTTTCGTGGGGTGGAGTCAAGACATAGTGATCAACCAATCATCGTTAAGATGGGACCGTCGGTTAGTCAGGTTGATTAGGTCACCATCTCTTATTTTCCCCATCAATGACAAAGAAGTAACCGAGGCACTCCATAGCGGACACAGGTGACCGCCTAATGTTTGTCAAAGGGATTAAGCAGTCAAAATAATTACATTTCTCTTCAAACTCCCAGGCGGCTATTATGCGTCTTCAATCGTTAAAACATTTTGTTGGTTTGTTTTTTCAAGAGAATCATTTAGACCGCTACTTGTCTTTCATAATTTCGAATTACAGCTTTGTTAAACTGCAGGCATTTGCGTGCCAAAAGTTTTCTTTACAATAAAAATATTATGACAAGTTGGGAGAATCAAAGAAAGTAATAGGAATCACCAGTCTGTGTTTGAATGATTTCATACGTTTGTGTTTGTGTATGTGTGTGAGTATGTGTGTGTGTGTTTGTGTGTGTGTGTGTGTGTATGTGTGTGAGTATGTGTGTGTGTGTGCGAGTATACGTTATGTATGTTTATATGCCTGCGTGTGAGTATGTTTGTTTTTATTTATAATTTGTGTGTGTGTGTGTGTGTGTGTGTGTGTGTGTGTGTGTGTGTGTGTGTGTGTGTGTGTGTTTGTGAGTGTGTGTGTGGGGGGGGTGCTTTGCTGTGAAGAAAGTGAAAATATGTGATGGAATATTGTGTATAGTGTGACACTTTAGAAGGCCGAGTCAGAAAGAAAACACAAATGTGAACAACAATTTTAAAAATTATTTACAAAGACTTTAAACGTTAATATATAACATGTCTAACCACCCCCCACACCCCCCCCCCCAAAAAAAAAACGCAAAAAAAAAAACATGGAAGAAGAAATTGTAACAAATAGTTATGCGTTTGACTAAGGAATCGTTCAACCATCCCGGTAGGTGGCTGTAAGCGTGGGTTTCAGTTAGGGCCTTCTTCTGATTGGTTAAACTACTGGTCACACTAATGTTACCCTGGGGCGTTGTGGGTACGGCATTGGCCCTCTTTGTCCTTTGTGTCTGAAACGCTTGTGATGACATAATTATTTTTTTCTGGACTGCTTGCGTCCTAATTATTTAACATGTACCGTCGGTATTTCAGAACCGTTTGATGGTTATAATCTCGTGACGTGTCACGCACTACCTCCTCACGCCCCATCCCCCACACTCACACTGGGCAGCGGAAAATTGTGTAGGCTTTTGATCCTATTGTCAAAAACTTCAAAGGAGTTTTCGGTATCGAGTATTTCTTAGTTTTCGTAGGTATTCGACATGGTACCGACATGAAAATCAATAAGTATAAGTTTAAGCGGTAGACCTCTTCAGCTAGCGAAAAATCAAGACTGCTATTTCATTTCATTGTATATATATGTATATATATTTATATATATATACAGTCAAACCTGTGTAAGATGGCCACTCATTGTCAAGGAGAAAAGTGGCCGTATAACACAGGTGGTTGTCTTAGGCAGGACTGATCAAGATAAAAGAAAACAAACCATTCCCATCTGAGGCCCCAATCGAAAGTAGCCCCATTATGTTGTCTTTGTTGGTGTTGTTGCTGTTGGTTTGTAATTTTTATTTTGTCGCTGATTTTGCACTAGGGTGACAAAAAAACCCGAAATGTATCAGACAAGAAAGACCGAGTGCCGTGTTAAAACAAACACATGGGTCGCCACCACTCGGAGAACGAGCGATGCTTCTGTAACAAGTTCATGTTGACGTCCTTTGTTACTTTGTTACAGGCTTGGTAAACAGTGACCACTCATCTCACTTACGATTTGTGTACGAGTTCTGGGCGGGGCTTATGGGTCATGAGGGATCACACGCTTACCTCACCAGCAGCTGAAAATTGGTAGCTATTTGTCAAAAGTGGGAGGGGCCTACTACGCAACATGATCGGTTGGAGGGACTACCTAACAACAACGACAGGTGATTGAATTATGACGGCTCGCCCACAACGCCAGGGGCCAATGCACAATTTATGACAAAACGTAATGGAGTCACTAAGGTGACCGTCTAAGACAGGTATTATTGGTTAGTATGATAGGTGTTGTGTGTTAAAATATGGTGA